GTTTACACTTCCAGACCACACTCCTTTACTTCCCTGATCTTTCAACATATACCTCAGTACCTATCTCTGGGCTTTTTATTATTAAGACTTATTAGAATTTGTTCTGCAAACATTCATTCTCATCTAACTTCTGCAGGTGTCATAAACAGACATATCTACATATACCTAAAAATAAAGTAATCATAAAAGAAAACTATAAAAATAAGTCAAGAGAAGCACTGAAAAGAAAAAAATGTTTAACTCACAAGCAAAAGCAAGTGCAGTGGCATTTTATTTAATTTTATGCTGCAATCCCAGCATGTGAGAAGTAGAGACAAGAAGGTCGGGAGTTCAAAGCTAACATCAGTTATATCTAGAGTCTGAGGTCAGTCTAGGCTACGTGAAAGTTTGTCTCAAAACAAACAACAAAAAAAAAATCCCAGGGCTAAAGAGATGGCTCACAGAACTTGGAAGCAACTTAGATGCCCCTCAACAGAAGAATGGATGGAGAAAATTTGGTACATTTACACAATGGAGTACTAATCAGTGGAATAAAACCAATAGAATCTTGAAATCCGCAGGCAAATGGATGGAACTACAAGAAACTATACTGAGTGAGGTAATCCAGTCACAAAAAGACAAACATGGCATGTACTCACTCATATATGAATTTTAGACATGGATCAGGGAGTGTCAGCCTACAGTTTACACCACCAGGGAAGCTAGGAAGCAAAGAGGACCCTAAGAGAGACATAAATGGTCCCCCAGAGAAGGGGAAAGGTACAAGATCTCCTGAGCTAATTGGGAGCATGTGGATAAGGAAGAGGGAGTTAGGAAAAAGAGAGGGGGAGAAAAAGAGGAGAGAGGAGGACATGAGGGAACAGGAAGATTGAGTCGGGAAGAATAGAGGAGAGCAAGAAAAGAGATACCTTAATAGAGTGAGTCACTATAGGTTTAAAGAGAAATGTGACACTAGGTAAATATCCAGAGATATACTAGGATGACCCCAACCTACAATCTAAGCAATGGTGGAGAGGTTACCTTAAATGCCCTTCCCCTATAATGAGATTGATGACTACCTTATATGCTATCCTAGAACCCCATCCAGTAGCTGATGGAAACAGAAACAGACACCCACAGCTAAACACTGAGCCGAACTCCTGAAATCCAGTTGCATAGAGGAAGGAGTGATGAGCAAAGGGGTCAAGACCATGCTGGGGAAGCCCACAGAAACAGCTGACCTGAACAAGGGGAACTCATGGACCCCAGACTGACAGCTTGGAGACCAGCATGGGATGGAACCAGGCCCCTTGAATGTGGGTGTCAGTTAGGAGGCCTCAGCAATCTATGGGGCCTCTGGTAGTGGATCAATATTTATCCCTCCCTTACAAATGGACTTTGGGAGTCCATTCGCCATAGAGGGATACTCTCGCAGCCTAAGCCCAGCCCCAAATAAAGTGACAGACTTTGATGATCCCCCATAAAAGACTTCACCCTGTCTATGAAGCAGAAGAGGGACAGGATGGAGGTCAGTGGGAAGTATGGGAGAATGGGAGGGAGAGGGAACTGGGATGGATATATAAAATAAGATTGTTTCTAATTTAAATTTAAAAAAAATAAAGAAATGGCTCAGGGGTTAAGAGTGCTTGATCCTCTTCCAAAGGATCTAGGTTGAGCAATTAGCATCCACATGGTGGCTCACAACTGTCTATAACTCCAGTGCCGGGAAATCTGATGCTATCTGTGGGCATTGCATATGCGTGATACATTCACATATCGTGTGTGTGTGTGTGTGTGTGTGTGTGTGTGTGTGTGCGCGCGCGCGCGCGCGCGCGTGTAAAATAAAATAATCGCTTTAAAAGTTAGGGGGGGAAAACAAGCAATTGTTGGTAAAGAGCCATTTGCTCAGGAATATATGAAAAGGATGGTTATCTTCAGTTCATAATAGCAGAAATGCACATTAAAAAATCACTGAGTTATCATCTCAAAAATAGGCAAATCCCAAACTTGCCAGTTCAGAGGGATGGTGAGGCTGTGGTGCCTGGCTCCCTCTTCTGTAGTCTAATGAGAATAAATGGCAGATGGGTTGACTGTGAGGCCCGTGTTCTTACTTCCAGGAATCCACCCTGCAGCTAGGTAAACACCGAACAATATACAAGATTAGTCATTCAGGGTACTTTGTAATAGCAGAAGTTTGGAAACAACCCAAATGTCTACCAGAAAGGAACTGAAGAGTTGGAACATTTAAGAGACTTCAAAAAAATTGTAAGAAGTTTCCAGGAAATGTGTTTACTGTGTGTAATTTGTATGCCCCATGTTTCACATGGTCCATGGTAGGAAGCTGGAGAAATCAAGAAAATGGCTGATGCTTGCTATGGTAGAGACTCCCACAAGTCTCTGTCTCTCCCATAGTACTAGATATCTAAGTTTTAGTTGAAGAGAGAAATTCACAGAGTCAAGACTGTATTTTCCAAGCCCACTTTAGATTAGATTAGATTAGATTAGATTAGATGATTAGATTAGATGTGATCCCGTCAGGAAGTTCTGGCAGATGACATGAAGCATGGAAAGGCTGGGACTGAATCGACATCTTGTACAAGGGCCAGTTACCAGGAATAAAAGCAGCCTCATCAGAGACAAGAGAGGGGTAGAGCCTGAATTCACAGCCGTGGAGTTCATTATAATCCAAGGAGAACATGCTTTCGCTTTCTCTTTTTTTTTCTTTTTGTTATGTTTTGTTGTTGTTTTTTCTAGACAGGGTTTCTCTGTGTAGTCCTGGTTGTCCTGGAACTCACTTTGTAGACCAGGCTGGCCTCAAACTCACAGAAAACCACCTGCCTCTGCCTCCTGAGTGCTGGGATTAATGGTGTGTGCCACCACCTCCTGGCAAGCTTTCACATCCTTACAGGTAAATTGTTTTCCGTGAATTGCTGATATGTGGAGCCAAAGGGCTTTATTTATAACTCAATCTAACCCTAAGTGCTATTTTTAATTACTGCCCTCTTGTGTGCTTCAATGACTTCTGATTTCCAGCCTCTTTAGGTAACAAGTCCATGAACTCACCACCGTAGGTTTCCTGCATTTCAAAGAAATTAAGGCCCAGAATGGTGACACACGTCTTTAATATGAGCACTCAGGAGGCAAAGGCAGGTGAATCTCCATGAGTTCCAGGCCACCCTGGTCCATGTGTCAAGTTCTAGGCCAGCCAAGGCTATATAGTGAGACCCTGTCTCAAAAAAGTAAAAAGGAGGGGGAGGAAGAAGAAATCAGGAAGCAGAAATTAGTGGGGAAGATGGATTTACTTACTGTTTTAGCAAAACTGAAGGACACTTTGCCAGGCGGTAGTGGTGCACGCCTTTAATCCCAGCACTCGGGAGGCAGAGGCAGGCGGATCTCTGTGAGTTTGAGGCCGGGCTGGACCGACAGCCTCCAAAACAATACAGAGAAACCCTGTCTCGTAAAAACAAAAAAACAAAACAAAACAAAAAAAAAACTGAGGACACTTTAAGAATTAATATTTTAAGATGGCTGTCCTACCCAAGGCAATCTACATATTCAATTTAATCCCCAGCAAGATTCCAAAACCAATCTTCCCAGAACTAGAAAAATAATCTGAGTTCATAGGGAAGCATAAAAGACCCAGGCTAGCCAAAACAACTCTGAGCAAAAGGAATACTGTGGGAGGCATCACCATACTTATTTCAAGTCATACTAAAGAGCCATTGAAATAAAAACAGCATGGTGCTGACACAAAAACAGACTCATAGACCAAAAGAATAGAAAAGAGGGCCCAGATTCAAGCCCACACAACTAGAGTAAGCTGACAAAGAAACCAAAAATATTTACTGGAGAAAAGGTAGCCCCTTCAACAAATAACCCTGGGGAAAATGAGTATCTATACATAGAATAAATGCAGACTCTTATCTCTCACCCTGAACAAGGGTTAACTCCAAATGAATCAAAGATCTTAATCAACCTTTGGTACTGCATAAGGCAAGAAGAGAAAAGTTTGAGGTGTCTGAATGAGCAGAGACTTTCTGTCTGGGACTCCAGTCACCCAAGAAATAAAGCCAACAACTGACAAATGAGATTTCATGAAGTTAAAACGCAGGGAATTTGCTAATCACATGAAGAGACAGCATATAAAACAGGAGGAAATCTTTGCCAACTATATATTAAAAAATTTACTATCTAGAATGTACAAAGAACTGAAAAAAGAAAACAACTTAATCAAAAGGGTGGGACTAAGAACCTGAACAGAGTTCTCAAAAGAAGAAATAGAAATGTCAAATGTCCAATAAACATTTTAAAAATATTATCAATGCAACAATAGTAATTAAAGAAAATGAGGCAAATGCGCTGGGCAGTAATGGCACACACCTTTAATCCTAACACTTGGTACTTAGGAGGCAGAGGCAGGCCGATCTCTATGAGTTCAAGGCAAGTCTAGTCTACAGAGTGAGTTCCAGGACAGACTCTAAAGCTACAGAGAAACCTTATCTGGGAAGATGGGCTGGGAAAGCAAATGCAAATTAAGAAACATTGAGATCCCATTTTACCCAAATCACAAGGACTGTCATTGAGAAAACAAATGACTACAAATGCGAATGGGGAGAAGAGAGAAGTCTTCTCACTGTTGGTTAGCATGCAAATTGGTGCAACCATTGTAGAAATTGGTACAGGAGATTCTCAAAAACCTAAATACAGAACTTCTGTATGACCCAGCCATGCCACTCTTGCACATACAGCCAAAGGACTTTCTATCTTACCACAGATACGCTTGTGCACTTGTGTTTATTATTGCTTTATTCACAATAGCTAGGATAGAATGAGTCTAGACATCCATCAACTAATTGATAAAATGAAATACGGTACATATACCAATGGAATCTTTTCAATCATGAAGTGTTGGGGAAGTCCTGTGTATATGTCAATCAAGCACTGTTGGCCAATGGGGAAGCAAGATAGGTGGGACTAGGAGTCCAGGAGGACTCTGGGTAGGAGAAACACAGGAAGTCAAGATGTAACGCCATGGGGTAGGAAGCTCGGAAAGTTCTCCTGTAAGAGAAATATTAGATTAACAATTATGGGGTAAATACTTAAGTCAGAGCTAGCCAGTAAGAAACAAGCAAGGCCAACAGCTTCATAATTAATATAGCCTCCTGTGTGTTTATTTGGGACTGATGCCGCTCTGGAACCAGGCTGGCAGGAAGGCTTCTCTTTACAATGAAGAATGACAAAATTTTGCAGGAAACTGGAAAGAGCTGGAAAATGTTGTAATAAAGTATAGTATAGTAACTGAAGTTCAGAAAAACAAACACCACATGTCCTCACACATGTGGATTTATGTGGGAGTGAATGTTTATAGGTCCTAGCAAACTAAAGAGAGACCCATGAGAGGGGAGCTAGGAAGGGAAGGGCAGTAGAAGGTGCTTGATATGAAAGCATGGGGAGTTACTAAGTAGAAAGCTTTTAGTAGGAAAAGAGGCCAGGAATATGGGGGAAATGAGAAGACTTGGGGAGTAGACAAAAAACATAATGAAATCCAATACTTAATAAGCTGGTCAACAATAAAATAAAATAGGGGCTGAACACAGGTGCATGTGTGGGTGAGCAAAGCCTCTTCCAGAAACTGTAGGTTAATAAACCAAAAGCCCATGCAGGAGTGGGCTACTTCCCTACAAATTGCTGTTTGGTGTTTGAAGCCTTCAAAACAATATAGGAAACTGGTACAGATGTTGGTCCCCTACCAGATCTAGATGGTAAGATGCTATTGCTGAAGATGTTGTTTGCTTTCACTGCAGAGCATGGAATCTTGCTGGAACTTGTGTGAAAGTTTCCTTCCTGGTGCTAATCTTCATATACCCAGAAAGTGCCATGCAAGCTTCTAGAGAATTGTCAGTGAAAGTGTTGCCCAGCTGTGGACACTAAATGCAAGAAAACTGACCAACTGGACACGGTGAGCCAACAGGTGCAGCAGAGGCAAGTTTGTGGGAAGGTAACTAACCACTCTCTGGTTGGGTTTAGTGCATTCTGTGGGAGGGAATTCACATCTGGAACTGTAAAGCAAGCTGCAAATCCAAGGCCAAGGAGGGCATAGGCCCTGGTGAAGAAGCCATTGCTGTTGTTTTCCTAAATGAACAAGATGTGCCCATCGGCCTGCCTTCAAAGTGACCGTTTGTGTCCAGAGAGTAGTGCTGTGGTCACGTTTCGCCAGAGGAACTCCTTTCTGCAGAAGTCAGCAGTGACTACAGAGACTCACGGCTGACCAAAGAACTGAGAACAGATAACTGTGGAGCACCCAGCCGTCAGAGGGACCTCTGTAAACAAGACTCAGGAAACATCTTGGAAGAAGGGGACAAAAAGAAGGTGAGAGGAGAAGGGATAGTGGGGAGCTGGGAAACGCTGACTTCCTGCAAGACGCTGCTGTTAGCAGTCTTTTCTTGCTTGGGAAAAGAGGAAGTAAAAATGAGACCATTTTTAATATAACGATTCTGATATTATGCTCCAAATAACAATTAAACATAAAACCTTCAGAATTTTAGTTGACGTCTAAATGTAATGCAAACCTCATATGACTTTCTGGGACACTTTCTAAGTATTTAATAAGACTGCCTTAGTCAGGGTTTCTATTGCTGTGAAGAGATGCAGTGATCATGGCAACTCTTATAAAGGAAACATTTACTTGAGATGGTGGCTTACAGTTCAGACACAGCGCTGACTACAACTTGATCAGAAGGCAACAGGAGGTGGCCTGTGACACTGGGTGGTACCTTGAGCATAGGAAACCTCAAAGCCCACCCTCACAATACGCACTTCCTCCAACAAGGTCACACTTACTCCAAAAAAGCCACATCTCCTGATAGTGCCACTCCACTATCACAAAGACTATTTTAATAATTTAATTTAAATCAGCCTTTCAATTATTTTATTTATTGTGGATTGGGTTTGTATATATGTGTAGGTGCACATGTTGACACAGAAGACACCTGGCAAGCGTCCATTCTTCTCCCTCTATCATGTGCATATTGATGATTAAATTCAGCTCCTCTTTTTTTCCAGACAGGGTTTCTCTCTGTATTGTTTTGGAGGCTGTCCTGGAACTCACTCTGTAGACCAGGCTGGCCTCGAACTCACAGAGATCCACCTGCCTCTGCCTCCCGAGTGCTGGGATTAAAGGCGTGTGCCACCAACAACTGGCTAAACTCAAGTCTTTAGGCTTGGCAGCAAGTGCCTTCACCTGCTAAGCAGCCTTCTGACCCATTAAAAGGCTCTCTTCTTGGTAAGACCTAATAATATCTTCCTTTCGCCCATTACAGAGAAATACAAAGGCATACCCAGACTTTGAATGTCATTGCTGGCATCTTCTGTAATCTCATCATAAAACAGAAACAATATACTGCTTTAACGAAGATCTCACATTTACCAATTACATATTTAAAAAGTGTTCCTGCCAGACAATGATAGTGCACATCTTTAATCCCAGCACTTGGGAGGTAGAGACAGGAGGATCTCTGTGAGTTCGCTGTCAGCCTGGACTACAAAGCTACACAGAGAAACCCTGTCTCAATTTATTTATTTATTTATTTGTTTGTTTGTTTATTAAATAGTGTTCCTGCTGGGCAGTGGTGACATACCCCTTTAGTCCCAACACTCTGGAGGCAGAGGCAGAGGCAGAGGCAGAGGCAGAGGCAGAGGCAGATGGATCTATGTAAATTCAAGGCCAGCCTGGTCTTCAGAACAAGTTCCAGGACAGGACAGGCTCCAAAGCTACACAGAGAAACACTGTCTCAAAAAAAAAAAAAGTGTTCCTACCAAGCATGATGGCACACACCCTTAAACCCGGCACCCAGGAGGCAGAGGTAAGGATCTCTGTGAGTTCCAGGGCAGATAGGTCTATAGATCAGCTTCTAGAATATCCAGGGCTACATCGTGAGAACCTGTCTTTAGTAGTGAGGAAGGCTGGAGAGACAGTTCAGCAGTTAAGAGCACTGGCTACTCTTGCAGAGGACCAGGGTTCAATTCCCAGCACCCACATAACAGCTCACAACCATCTGTAACTCCAGTACTAGGGGATCCAACACCCTCTTGTGGCCTCTCTGGGCACCACCCATGCACATGGTGCACAGATGTGCTTCCAGACAAATCACACACACACACACACACACACACACACACACACACACACACACACACACACACACAAGTAATAATTTTAGGTATTCTAAAAAAGGAAAACCACATGAATAGTCTAATAAAATAATTTTTACATTAGTTGATTTACGTATGTGTGCACACATCTGTGGAGGTCAGAGGACAACTTAGGAAATTGATTCTCACCTTCCACCATGTGGGTTCTGGAGATTGTCAGGGTTGGTGGCTACACATCATTCAAAGGTATTTTTATTTTATTTCTATGAATATAAAGTAAGATACTTGTATGCCACTGAAACTCCTGACTGGCCCTCTCCACACTTCAAGAACTGTCACAAAGCAGTTACACTTGGATTATTAATGTGTTGCTTCTGTGGGGGGTAACCTTTGCTTGTTGCTTGTTAACACGGCCTCAGGTAGCCCAGGCTGACCTCAAACTTACTATGTAGCCGAAGGTGACCTCGACCCCCATCCTCCAGCCTCCTCCTCCCAAATCCAGAACCAGAGGTCTGTGCCACCTACATTCTTTTGCTCTTTTGAAAACGTAGTCAAGTTTTGACACGCTTCGAAATGAAATACCTTCATTCCCAACTCCCTCACTTTGTCCTTCAACCTTTTATATTCTCACTTCCAGCTTTCCCTCTTTATTTCAGTGGTTCTAGATATTCATACATTTTTGTTCTAAACCTATGAGGACACTTGTAAGTGTTAAGGCATCTTGTTTCTTCGCTTGTCTTAAATTATCAGTCCTTGATTTCAGTCTTAAAAATAATGATGATAATTTTTTCTTTTTTTTTTTGAGGCATGACCTCATGTCACCCAGGCTAACTGCAGACTCTGTCTATGGCCAAGGTTGACCTTGAGCTCCTGGGGCTCCTGGGGCTAGGTTTGGACACACATCATCATACCCAGTTCTCTCAGAAGAATCAATTCCTTCAACCTCAACTTCTGCCTATCTTATCAAACCACCCCATACCTTATCTTCCTTTTTCATTATATTCTTATATATGACTAATTTTTCTTAGAGCTACGGGGAAGTGCAACACGCTGAATATGGCGCTTGTGTCCGTAACTCAAATGACTGAACTCCAGAGGCCAGCCTGGGTTCACAGTCAACTCACAACATTCTTTAAAATTCCTAGACACTCGCTACCCGTCAGACTCCAGGGAAACTGCTAACTTGAAACAGTTCACAGCTTCAACATTATAGCTACATTCCTTTTCAAAGGTGTCATGTCTCTGCACACCTAGGTTTTTTGGCAGTTCCTTTGATAAAGAGCAAAACTACACAAAAATGAACATAGAACTGGGAACAAGGGCATCAGTGTCCAATCTATTCCAACGCAGAACCCAATATACACTCGTCCTATTTCATTATTTTTAAAGGTATTTGATTGCATTTACTTGTTGGAAGGTGGTTACCTCACATGCCACAATATGTATATGGAATTCAGAAAGCACTGTACAGAAGTTGGTTCTCAGGGCTGGAGAGATGACTTGGAGGTTAAGAGCACTGGCTGTTCTTCCAGAGGTAACTGAGTTCAACGCCCAGCAACCACATGGTGACTCATAACCATCTATAATAAGATCTGGTGTCCTATTCTGGCCTGCAAGCATACATGCAGGTTCTTTCCACCATGTGGGTTCCAGGTATCAAACTCAGGCCATCAGGCTTGGTGGCAAAGGCTAGTCAAGGTGACAAGCCATCCCACCATCCCAGTGTATGCATCTTAATTACAGCTATTTGTAGTAGGATAAAATTAATTCATTCTTTCAACTTTTGCACATAAATAACTTCCTAAAATGGAATAAACCCATGACAGAGGGTTTCTCGAAGCTCCCCAGTTACCACATGATGATATTTGACATTATTTCAAAACATTTATGTGCAAAAGTTGAACACCAGAGAAGTAGTTATGGCAAGGTGGGGAGGCTTTTCTATGGACCCACGACACTCTCTGATGACATTCTTAGCCTTTGGGTTGGTAGAAACTAGTGGTCTGCTAAGTTAATAGGTTCCAAAGGGCTTCTATCTAGTAGTCCCAAGATGTTAGTTCAGATGCACAAGTAGGTAAGCTGTGACTGTCCTGGAGGGCTGGAGCTAGCCCAAAATAAGGTCATTAGCCTCTGGACCTGCCACATTCCGACTCCGCAGGACTGAGGTCAGTCAGACCCTGGACATGGCTTCTTTCCGAGGACTCACCTGTGAGAACTAGGATACACAATTAGATGTGAGACTTCTTACACACTTTTAGAAGTGTGTTGATAGCAACCTAGTTCTAAAAAGTTGATTCTGGACTCAATGTTCACTCTACTATTTATATGTTGCAATCCTCACTCCCGGTGGTATTTAGAGACAAGGCCTTTGAAGGAGAACCAGGTTTAAAAGAGGTCATAGGGTGGGCCCCTTGTTGAGATTAATGCCTCCTCTACTTCCCTTTCTGTTGCTGTGATAAAACACTCTGATCAAAAACAAGTTGGAGAGGAAAATGTCTTGTTTTCACTTATATTTCCAGGTTACAGCCCCACATTGAGGGGAGCCAGGGTGGGAACTAAAGCAGAAACCTTGGAGGAACTCTTCTTGCTGGCTCACTTATGAGGGCTTGTTCAGCAAGCTTTCCTTACAGCCCAGGACCATTTGCCTGGAAACCTGGGCTTCTCACAGTGGGCTGGGGCCTCCTCCATCAATTAAAAGACAATTCCCATAGACACGTCCACAGGCCAGTCTGATATGAGCGTTCTTTTCTCAGATGACGTAGGCTGTGCCAAGCTAACTGGCAGAGCTAACTGTGGTGGCACCCTTGCTCAAAAAGACAGCAGAGCATTCTTTCTTCCTTCCTCCCCTCATGTCTCTCTCCCTTTCCCTCCCTCCAATATTCTATAAACTAAGAAACCTCAGAAACCAAACTCTGCAGGACCCTGGCCTTGAACTCAGAGATACCCAGCCCACGGTTCTTTGCTAGGGTACTCTGAGCTATCATAGGGCGTTTCAAAAGACTCTCCAGGGACAATGACAGAAATGGCAGTTACTCTGAAGTAAAAGTTGATTGGAAATAAAAGGGATCCCTGTTGCCCAAACGAACCATTTCTCTCTTTCCTCAGGTGCTGGAAAACAAAGTCCAGAGCAGACCTGATTGGATCCCTCCAGATCCCATCTATGATGCCTGATCCTGGTTGTCAAGGTGACACTCCTGGCAAGAGGGAACCTCAACTGAGGAATGGCCACCATCAGATTAGCCTGTGGGCATGCCTGAGGGGTATCTTCTTGATTGCTAATTGATGTGAGGGGGCTGGCCCACCATGGGTAGTGCCATCCCTGGGCAGGTAGGACTGAGCCATATACTATAGGTAGCAGAGCAAGCTAGGAGCGGCAAGCCACTCAGTGTTCGGCAGTGGTCTCTGATTCAGTTCCTGCCCCCCCACCCACGCCCCACCCCCCCACCCCACCCCGCCCCCCAAGTTCCTGTCTGGAGTTCCTACTTTCAATTCACTTGATGACAGACTGTAACCTGTGAGCCCAATAAACCCTTTCCTCCACAAAGCCAGTTTTGGTCAGTGCTTTGTCATAACACCACCACCAAAAAATAAAAATAAGAAACTAGGACATCATCTAAGCAGAGATACAGGGGAACAGGTGGTACCAGTCCAGCACCATGAGGAAGAGCAGGACCATTTTGTCATTCACTGGTACCGTCGCCCCCAAAAAATTTGCGAGAGAAATGGTTTCAACTGAGAGATTTAGGGAGGTGTAAGATGCATACTTTGGGGGGGGTATTTTAAACAGATGATGTTATTAGACATTATATAGAAGCATTTTGTGATTTCTCTCATAGCCCCTTACCATAGTTTTACTTTCTAAGATTTCAGTAACTTTCCATTAATCTTTGTCTGACTGGTGTTTGTTTGTCTGTTTTTCGAGACAGGGTCTCATTATGTTGCCCTGGCTGTCCTGAAATTCACTCTGGAGACCAGGCTGGCCTTGAACTCCAGGATCCACCTGCTTCTGCCTCTTGACTCCTAGGGTTAAAGGCATATGTCACCATGTCTGGCTACGTCAATCAATCTTGATCCAAAAATTAAATAGAGAATTCTATAGATAAACAATTTATGTGTTTTAAGTAGATGAACACAAAGATGTACATCTTTAATTCCAGCACACAGGAGCTGAGGCAGGGCTACCAAAGTTCAGGCCTAGCTGCGCATAGTGGTGCACACCTTTAATGCCTGCACTATAGAGGCAGAGGCAGGCAGATCTCTGTGAGTTTGAGGGCAGCCTGGTCTACAGAGTGAGCTCGAGGAGAGCCAGGGCTATTACACTGAAAAGCCCTGCCTCAAAAAAACAAGAAAAAAAAAACTCAATAACAACAACAAAAAGTCAGGGGCCTAGTCTGGGCTACATTGTGAAACCTTGTCTCAAACACTTGAGCAAACAAAATGCTATTAATAGCTTTTAGGATAGCATGCGATTCTGATTGTTCTATTGATAGTTATTAATCTCTCCCTGTGTCTAATTTATAAATAGCCTATATTTATGAGGGGACATTATAGGTACATGGTTAGCAATGTAGCTCAGTAGTAGAGAATGTGCCTAACACATAACAGGTCCTGGGGTGTAGCAGGCTTTCTTGGACTGCTAGTCCCCAAATCATGAAACAGAGACTTATTAATTATGAATGCTCAGACTTAGTTTAGGCTTGTTTCTTATCTAGGTTTTTTAACTTAAATGGACCCATTTCTACTTGTTTACCTCATCTATGTACAGCCCATCCTGCTTTCCTATTTCATCCGTGTCTGGCTGGCTACTGGCTGACTCCCCTTTTCTCTCTGCTCACCAGCCCCACATATCCCTCCTCACCTAGCTATTGGCCCTTCAGCTTTTTATTAGACCAATCAGGTGCCTTAGGCAGGCAAGGTAAAACAGCAACACATTGTTACATACTTAAACAAATACTCTATTCCACAACACTGGGGTCTATCACCAACAACATAGCAAAAAAACAAAAAACAAAATGACAAAAAAAAAACTTGGTTTTGGTGCAGGTTAGAGATCAAGTGCATGATTGACAGGCACAAGACGGCGTGTTCAAACCCCAGCACCAAAATAGGCATGAATACACAAATGGTCCGGACTTAGAAAGATTCCACTTATGATTTATCAATCTGACGAGAGAACCCAACACCAGCCTGGAAGCAACGTCAGAGGAAGGCCTGAGCCTCAGGCCTGGTGTAGTGTCAAAGGGAGGCCCGAACCTTAGGCCCAGGATCAGGGAAAGGCTTCCAGGTGAGACAGCAGTGGTTTCCAGCAGCGGCTTCCAGAAGCTATCACAAGAAGTTCCTCTGGGTGAGAGCACCTGTGTCCCAGCCAGCATCCACTGACATTTCTCGGTTGAGATACCCTGCTGCTACAGCGATCACTGGACACTCAGCCCCATCTACACCTAGAGGAGCAATCACCTGAGCCGTGGCCCTGCCTACCCCTCAAGGAGTGACCATCTGAGCCTTGGGCCCACCTCCACCAGGAGGAGTGTTCATCAGAGGCTCTGTTCTCCTTGTGCCTGAAAAAGTGGTCAACTTAGCCACAGCCCCCAACTATACCAATTGGAGAAAGAGAGACCCTCTGGAACACAAGCTCCACCTATACTGATTAGAGGAAGAGATTCGTAGAAACAAAGTAAGAACAATATAAAGAGGAATATGGTACCACTAGAAACTAGTGGAGCTACAACAGCAAGACCTGAACACCCCAACCCAGATGAAACAGAAGAAAACGACCTAAAAATAACTATGAGGGTGATTGAGGCCCTTAAAGAGGAAATGAAAAGTTCCCTTAAAAATAGAAGAAAAGACAAACAAAAAATTGAAAGAAATGAACAAATTCCTTAAAGAAAATCAATCTGATGATGGGAGTATCAAGTCAGTTTTTTTTTTCTTTTGGTTTTTGAGATAAGGTCTCTCTGTGTAACTCTGGCTATCCTGAAACTCCCTCTGTAGATCAGGCTGGCCTTGAACTCATGGAGATCCACATACCTCTGCTGGGATTAAAGGTGTGCACCACCACTGTTCCACCATATTTATCTTATTTTTACTTAAAAGTGTGCTATTGGGATGTTACCCCATGTCAGTCAAGGAATGCACACTGTTCAGTACTCCTTGTTTCAGACTAATACTGAAATGCTTCTTTGTGTGCCTGGTACTGGCTATTTCTCTATGTTTTAGAGATGTGGTCTGTAACTAACCACAACAGCATCATCTCTGCTTCCGGTATCCTGAATGACCTCTCCGATCAGAACAAGGCCAACTCCAGAGTCCTAGAACTGCCACACATGTGGTTCTACTCTCTAAACAGTTTATGTTCCATTTAGACAATTTAGACACGTCATCCAGGATTTCTGTAAACTATGTGTTTCTAGTTCACACAAATCATTAATACATTGGTGTGCTCTGGCAAAGCTTCAGGATGCCTGGAAAATCTTTTTATATGCTTTTATTACCCACGAGTGTGTTCATAGTAGAAAAGGGAGCTAAGAAGCAATAGAAAGGCAAAACCATGCAGCCATTGCTTTCACTAGCTCATGGTGGTCCTGGACGCCTGCACTGGTTCTGCTGGGAATAAACCTGTCAACAGCAAGGCATAGTGGAGGAAAGTCGTGGGAGACCTGGCCCTCCCTACTGAATGGTTTGCTACAGATAGATTCAGAGCGAGGAGAAATCGTCTTCAGGTCTGTGCCTACTGGTAACTCTACTGGGCTCCAATGGACACCCACATCTGGCCCTGGTTAAAATAAATGGGTCATAAACAAAAACAGAAGGCATGAGTCTGACCAGGTGCAGTGGTGTGAGCCTTTAATCCCAGCGCTTGATCTCCATGAGTCTGAAGCCAGTCAGGTCTGCAGATCAAGTTCAAGGCCACCCAAGGCTTCATGGTTAGACTCCCTCTTTAAACAAAAACAAATTGAACTAAGTTTAAAAGAGAACTGGGCACAGTAGCACACGTTTCAGCCTCAGCACTTATGGGTCCCAGGCAGGAGAACGACCAACCTGGGCTACAGAGTAATATCGTGTCTTGGGGAGGGAAAGTATAAGGAAGTCTAATGTACATAGGTCATATGCAGGTAGTACACCATTTTACATAAGAGACCAGCCAGACCAGGGTTTTGGCATCCACAGAAGATCCTTGAACCACTTTTCCAGGGACATCATGAGTCAACCAAAATGACAAATTCCTTAGGGCTGGGAGTGTGATCTGAGATGTTGAAGGACTCACCAGAGGAAGCATGACAATTCAAAGAGCGCTCTGATCCAGTGTGTGGAACACAAGCTCCTGTGTTGTTTACACAAAATCCATCATCAAGAGACTGGAAACTCAAAAGGGAACATCGGAGACAGGGTGTCCAGAGTTAAATAAATTTGCCCACAAAGCATCCAGATGGCAGAGTGCCGACCCAAAGAACAAAGTGTGCTCAGTGGTTGCAGAGGAAACCGAGTCACAGACAGGAAAGCTTTCCTAGAAGAATGGTCTTTGGGGCTGGCCACTATGCCCTGTCCTTGGCCATCATGTCTCCATTATTGAAGCAGCCCCCTGCCAAGAGTAACACTGGAGACAGGTGAGCCAGGTCACCACCAACAAAGAAATGGGTGTTCAAGGGAAACTCCAAAATGGAATGTAAGCACAAAGACCTAAGAGACTCTTTACTCATATGGAACATACAGTTGTCATCAGATGCCTTCAAACAATTGATGGTACCATCCCCAAAGAGAAAGTGTCACTAGAAGGATGGTGGAATCTTCCAGAAAGCTATAGGTGTTACTCTGTGGTAAAGAGCTTGCTGAATAAGTGCAGTGTTCTCTGTTTGATTCCAACACCAGAGAGAGAGAGAGAGAGAGAGAGAGAGAGAGAGAGAGAGAGAGAGAGAGAGAGAATAAAAAGGAAAGTTTAGGAGAGCTATCATGGCTGGGAAATTTGCAAGAGTGGGGACGGCACGGGGTTGGAGGGACCTTTTTATTTTGTTTTGTTTTGTTTTGTGGTTTTTGTTTGTTTGTTTGGGGTTTTGTTTTTTGTTTTTGTTTTTGATGTTTCATGAAGCCTGTCCTGGAACTCACTTTATAGACCAGGCTGGTCTTGAACTCACAGAGATCTACCTGCCCTTGCCTCCCAAGTGCTGGGATTAAAGGCGTGTGCCGCCACCACAGGATTATAGGGAAGTTTTTAATTGATAAAATTATATTTAGGATTCCTGATATCTAATATGTGCAAAAACAAGAAAGCAGCATCCATAGAGGCTCAGCTTCATGTGGTTTATTTTTGTCTTTAAATACATGAATGTCAACGTGGTGCTCACCCCAAATCCCAGCACTCCAGAGGGAGAGGTCCAGGGATTACCAGTTTGAAGTCATGTAGGACTGGAGAGATGGCTCAGTGGTTAAGAGCACTGGCTGCTCTTCCAGAGGACTTCCAATCTGTTTCCAGTAACCATGACAGGCAGCTCACAACAGCCTTTAACTCCAGCTGCATGGGATCCAACACCCTCTTCCACTCTCCAT